TTCCTTCCCTCCTTCCTTCCCTCCTTCTTTCCTTACCTTCCGTCCCTCCTTCCCTCATTCCTTCTTTCCTTACTTCCTTCCCTTTTCCTGGCTTTAAATAATGTTTTCTCATTTTCATTTCCGTCACCGGTTTTGCATTTTTACTTTTTACTTTTTAATACAAAAAGATATACAAGTATATATTCATGAATATACAACTACTATAATTGTTATCTTAATCACTCAAATTGATTATACTCAGGTTAGGTTTCAATAGTTCGATTAAAGAAGGCAATTTGCAAAATTGCCACTTGTCACCTGTACGACTTCCTGCGTTAATTGTGGCTTTAAATTTGTAATTAGTATATGTAATAGAACTCCATGCTGTCCAATTATATTTATGTCCAGTTATATTTGGACGAGCAAAATTCTGAGGACTGACAAAATTCAAGTCCAATTTGGCAGTCAGAGGAATTTTTCGAGTCTAATTATTTCTTGATTGGGGAGCATGAAATCCTATTACCTATTAATTATATAGCTGCCTAATTAATCCCATATCAACAAGACCTGTTTAATTAAGAAAATAATTAGACAGTTACCTATATGGGATTGATGAGAAGCTGTATAATAATGATTTATATTATTCCCTCTGATTATTTATTCATGTCGGATTCAAATAAGAGCAGAATCCAAGTAGGCTATCGTCAACAATCAATGTCGTGTAAAGAATATGGAATGATTATATACTGAAAAATTAGGAGAAAAACTAAACCACTAAATATTATTTATTGCGAACTAAACTTGTCCAAGGAAAATTTCAAAATATTAGTACTAGAAAGTTTATTTAAGCAGGCTGCGTCTTGGTTTTGTAAAAAAAAAAACAACAAAAAAAACAACAAACAAAACAAAACAAAACAAACAAACAAACAAAAAACAAAAACAAAAAAAAAACCGCTAAACCTAGTACAAAATAACAGTTATTAAAAACTTTTCAAGAGCTTTTCAAACCAGGAAGTCCTAGATCGATTTTTCGGTGAGAGAATCCTTGACACCATTTAATAAAGCTGAATTCACAGTAGCAAGAAGTCAGTTATTCTCAGTCAAAATGGCATCAATCGATGTTGTGACAATTCACTAAAACAGTTGGTAGCTAGTCTACTTTCATAAAAGCAAGCTAACAAAGGTGGATCGAAAATCGAGTCTCGCGGGCGCTCATCGATGCTTGTTAAATATAGCAAATTCTCTGATTGGTTTAAACGATAAATGCAACGCTTTCTGGGATTGTTCAGACTCGTACTTCTCTTGTTTGGAAAAATGTCTTCTCTGATTGGTGGAACTTGCTCAATATAAAGTGTTTTCTGATTGGTTGAGTTCTTAACAAAACTTCTTCTGATTGGTCGTACTTGCTTAATATAACATGTTCTGTGATCGGTTCAGGCTCCTAGGCTCCTAGTTCTTGATATAACATGTTATCTGATTGGTTGCATGTATAGTGCTTAATACTGAACATGTAGTCTGTACTGTGATTGGTTCAAATTCTTGTGCACCTTAAACTATATAACGCGCTCTCTGATTGGTCAACTTTATATTTTGCATGAAATCACGTTTTTTTTCTCTTTTCACAAGCAATAAGATATAGTAACGAGATGTCTGATTGGCCCAGATTCTTGTACACATAATTCTCAATGTAACATGATGTGTGATTGGTCAGTAAATGAAGCTGTTTCCCGCCTTTTCTCTTACATTTCAGGATAGGACGGCTACACTACTCGATAGAGTACTGTGCCGATGAATTCCGAGACGAGCTTTCATTCTTCGGGATCTCGATCAACGAGGTTGATAACTGTTGCTGGGATGATTATCGACAGCCAAAATCTATCAATATCAATAAAGTTTTTAATCTTGAAGAACAGGACAAATTAAGGGAAGAAAATAAAGAGAGTTTCCTGGAAAAAGTTTGGAAGGTTTTTGATAACCCGGAAAAATCTTTATTGGGCGCCCTGTGGTATTATATGTCTGGACTAATGATCGCATTGAGTATAGCATGTACTGTCGTAGAGACGATTCCGCCGCCTTGTGAGGATAGACTTATATGTAGTGTACAACACGCGACGCTTTGTAACAAACGACTAAACGACTCAGCATATCCCTGGAGTATAGAAACCGCCAAGGACAGTGGCGCTTGTGTTGAATTAAGAGAATACCTGGAATCGAAGGAGAATGTCTTTTTTATTCTTGAGAGTGTTTGCGTTGGAGTTTTTACTTTCGAGTATCTAGCTCGCCTTATTTCAGCTCCAAATCGTTGGAACTTCGTCAAAGGGTTCATGAGTATTGTAGACGTGGTTTCTATCCTACCATATTATTTGGGTATTATTCTACATATTTTTGATCTGGCAGTGGACAGTCTTAGTGCATTGGTTTTACTACGAGTACTGCGGGTTTTTCGTGTTCTCAAGTTCACAAGACACAGCAGTCGGCTTAGGAGCCTGCTGTTTGCTATCCAGCGGTCGGCTTCAGAACTTGGCTTCATAGTATTCAGTTTATCACTCGGAGTGGTGCTTATATCCAGTGCTTTGTTTTATGCTGAAAAAAGTGGACCTGGGGCCGACTTATTCAATAGCATACCGGCATCTATGTGGTATTCTGTGATCACCATGACAACGACAGGGTAAGTCACGTGACATTGTGATATTGCATAGTGTTTTGCTGACAAGGTATTTGGTAGTAACGTGAACCAAAAGTTTATTTGTGGTCACGTGACTCAAATTCTTGGTCATATGATCAAAAATCTTATGGTCACGAGGTAAAAATATTGTGGTCACGTGGCCAAAGAATAATATAGATAATTTGCGTCCCTGTTTCGTAAATGTTCTAAAGTAATCTAGAATGTTCTTTGACGCATCCTTCCCACCCCCAAAAGCAGTTTAAATATTTAAGGTACATTTTTGATCGATTTTCGTTTCAGTTATGGCGACATCGTACCTCACACTGTTCTTGGGAAATTAATCGGCAGCATTGGATGTATAGTAGGCGTGCTTATGATAGCACTGCCTGTCCCTATCATACAGAAAAAGGTGGGTTAATCTCTTATTGGGCTACCTATATGTGGTACAAACGAGAGTACTGGGAGCGAAACAAAAACGAAAAATGTATGCGCATGCTCTAAGTGCATTTCGAAACCATTATTCCAAAAATGACAAAGGTAACATTTTGAAAGTCTGTTGTTTAGCAACTGGATTGACGTCATCGCTGCCATATTTGTTCACGTGAGCAAAATATTTTTGAAGGGTTTTTGCTTATCTCTCACAAGGAGTTTTTCTACAAAGTGTATGTTTATAAATATTAATTCAATAATAATTCATTTATAGGCTAATCTCCAAATGGGACTGTTAGACGAAGTTGATGAGGCCCTCACGAAGGAGTAAATAGAAATGCTTGTATGGTAGACGACAGCAATGACAGCAAAACACAGCAGAATACAGCAGATACAATCAAGACAGCAAAACATTGTCTAACACAGCAGATGACATCCAAGACAACAAACAATGCAGAATATAGGAAGTAATAGTCAAGACAATGCAGAATATAGGAAATAATGGTCAAGACAGCAAAAGACTGTCTAACACAGCAGATGACATCCAAGACAACAAACATTGCAGAATATAGGAAATAATGGTCAAGACAGCAAAACACTGTCTAATACAGCAAATGACAACAAAGAAAAAAAGACAAGAATGCAGAATATAGCAGATTATGGTCGAGATCATGGTCAAAGACAGGAAAGAATGGAAACAACAACTGAATGGCAACCCAGAAAATTATGATACAGCAGATAAGAAACAAGACATCCACACATTGAATGTGCTGTGAAACAAAATCTCAGCTGACAAACAAGACGAAATCAACTGCAAACGTAACAAATCGATCGCACCAGTTGGCGCATAAACTAAAAAGGGTTACGTTGTTTTTAAATCCAGCCGCATGTGTTAAACTCCAAAGAAAAATCCTAGTGATAAAACCACTGAATCGGTATAAGTCGAATCGAAACCGATCAATCTTAAATAACTATTGTAAATAGTTATTATTAATATCTGTTAATATCCATCATGCATGCGTAGTGAAATCTAGGAAGATATGGTACTTTGTCTTGGTTGAAGAACTGGGTAAATACCTGGCGCACTTAACGCGCAATCTATTTTTATGGTTTAAAATTCGTGCGCATGCGCACAACAGCCTATGGTTGCGAAACGAAATTTACGAAGGGTGATACATAGCGCAGTTTTCTGGAAACTAGTCTAAAGAGCTGAAGAATTTTACAATTTCATTTTACGCATGCGCAAGAGTAACATCTTATTTCTTTTGCGCACTGAGTTTAAGAATTACTCTAGAGTCACCGGAAGTGTTTTAACCGGAAGTGGGTTTCACCGGAAGCGTTTTCACCGGAAGTATTTCATTTGGTTTCAGAGTTCAATTGACAGAGGCCAAAAGGACCACGGTTTCGAGGAGCGCAAATAAAGCGACATTTCAATATTCCTATACAAGTTTGTGATGTCTTTATGAATAATGATATAATAGGTTGTAGTCTTGTGTTTTATCAATTAAATGAAAACAAAGCATGACGGGAAGAAATGAGGCGCAGAGCAGAACTTAAGAAAATAAATGAATAAAAGTTATGAAATTTTCTTGAATTTTTGATACAGTTTTATTCATTAATACTTATGCTTTTCGTAAGCTTTGATAAACTTTTATTCATTGTCACATGCCATAAAATATTTTCGGTTTCCCGTTTGCATTCATTTCCGCTTATGTAACACTTAATGGCGTATTTCCGGTACAACGTAACTGTAGTCAATTAGTCAATCTGTTATGATTAACTTACAAAATCTAGCGGTGCTTCTTTCTAGCGCATGCGCGGATCTGGAGTCATTTGGTGACGTTACGTCTGCGTTTTCACTGAAAATGAATACAAGAAAAAAATCGATCAGAGAATTCAGTAAACAAGCAACGATTACTATGACAACGATTTCCTTACCCTTATTTGGAGAATCGGAACCGGAAGTGCAACGATAAGTACCCCCAGCAGACAGCAGGCACAGCCAATCAACTTGCCAATTATGGTTTCCGGAACAATGTCGCCATATCTACGATTAACACAATATCTAATGTCAGCTGACATGATTTCATCCAGGATATGTATATTTAATGTTTTGAAGGAAGCGTCAACTCTGGCCATCATTTTTAACATTCATCTCTCTTTCTTGCCTTCAATTCTTGAGAAACCCCAACTATACTTACCCTCCTAACGTCACCTCGCTACCCCTTCGCATCTCTACCTTTTTACTTTTGATTGCTTAGCCTCTCTTCATCTCCTTCTCACATTCACTGTTTCCCTAACGCACTTAACTACCATTACAATTAACTACCTTGCTCTTCTAACATAGCCTCCGTCACCCTCTTCTACCTGTCCATTAACTTTCCCGTTCGATTCTCCCTTTGCTCCTTTGTCCCTTTGCATCTTCTTCCTTTCTCAGCTCTACTTCCTAGCTTATCCTCTCCCCCTCTTTCATTCCCTCCCTATCTTCTGGCTCTACTATGCCCCGCTTTTTGGTTGCGATAGTGGTGCCTGTGATGTAGTGCAGTTTTCGTATGACTGTGAAAAGCTCAGTGCCGTAAACGTGACGTGCCGTGACCGTGATACTTTCTAGAATTTTAATTGGCTGATTTTTTTCACGCGCAATATGATTGGTCTAAAGGTGCCGTGATCTTGGCGTGACCATGTTTATGCCATGTTCCGGGTATTTGATTGGATGGAGAGTAAATTCTCGTGCAATGTGATTTGTCTGGCGTATCCCTTACTGTGTCACGACCGTGTTCGTGCCGTGAACTTTTCACAAAGACTCACCCTGTAGTAGTAGTGGTGATAACAGCATACCACATGGACTCAGGAATACTAGAATACTTAGGATTATCCTGCATCTCAGCATAATAAATAACACTCGCAAAGACTGTCACCAGCACCAGATATATAAACACGATCAAACTCAACTCCGCAGTAGAACTCTTGAAGGTATTAACCAAAGATTGAAGACGGCGAGAGTGTTTCAATAGTTTGAATACGCGTACAATTCGAAGGATCCTTAGAATCTCTAGTAGACCTATTCCATAGGCTATAGATGGGCCAAATATCTGCCTCATGAGGATATCACAGTAGTAAGGTACGATGGCGAGGAGGTCGACGATACTCATGAATTTGCGCACAAAGTGAAGACGTTTTGGAGCAGTGATAAGACGGAGGAGGTACTCGATGGTAAAGAAAGCGACGCAGCCAGAATCGATGTAAAAATAAACATCTTGGTTGTTTTCTTTACAGACTTTAAGCGTCATTGAACAAGGGATAGTTTCAGTGATGCTAGCCACTGTACTAACGACTATGGCCAACATGCTAAGGAAGTAAAACATCTTCGCCTGTGTAGAGACTACAGGATCTTTCGTTGTCAACCAGATTTTTTCTCTCAGAGACGCATTTTCAGGTATTTTTCTAGTTTTTGCGAGTTTTTCTTCCTCCTTTTTCTCGATTTCCTTTCGTAGTTTTTCTAGTTTTTCAACCGCTGGCTCAAACTCGTCTTCCCAGCAACACGTACAGAGATACTCGTCTGCTACGCCAAAGAAAGAAATCTCATCGACAAAGTGACTCACGCACTCATCTTTTGGGAAATGAAGTTTCCCTGTGTAGTAAAAGTTCCAGATGTGACGAAAAATATCTGGGTCCCGGTCGAAAAAGAACTCCTCTTTATTGGCATCGTAGTATTTATTCCTGCTCACGTTACCCAGGAGGGTCTTGGGATAGACTGTAGTGAAATATTCATGAAGTTTGAATTTCCGTCCACTCACGTTTACCAGTAAAATCTTTTCATCATCCGGGAAATCAGCGAGCTGTTTCCTTGACGATTTGGAACCACACGAACTGCTTTTGCCTGCTTCAGAGCTTTTTCTACTGCCAAAGAAGTTTTTCGGTGAAAGAAAAGACAAAAAACTTCCTTTGAGAGATTCAATGGGGTTTGAAAACCTCATTGAGGATCCACCACTTTTCATGGACGATTTTGAAGAAAGTCTGCTTTGAATTGAGAACCGCGACGAACGTTCGTGATGACCGCGCGACGACACACTGGACTGGGTCGAGATTGGGTTCCTTTCTAGGTGCGGGGACCGGGAAGCAGCGCTATGAGGAGTTTCAAGGCCTGAATCACCTTCAGTGGAGTTAGAGAACCGATATGGATAGGAAATCTTGCGGGATTTTCTATCTGGTTCTTCGTAGCTTTGTGCTTTGAATGTCGGTGACAGTAAAGTAAAGTCGTTAGATCCAGTCCTACTCGACCCTATAGCAACTTTTCGACGTCTACTCTCCCGTTTTGATTCCTGACTTCGTGTAGGACTTAACATATTTCCCTCACAACTGTATGTAAAATACTCATCTGAGGAATACATTTCCCCGGATGTCGAGATACCCGGATGTGACGTAATTGGTAAGGTCATTTTCCGAAAGCTTGGCGAAAGGAGAGCGGTGCTGTGACGACCAGAGGCCTCGAATCCTGAGTCCTGAACGGAAAATCCCGAAGTTTTGGAATGGGGAGACCACGAAGCTCCGCTATCCTTCTCAGAGGAATTCGATTTCTGCTTAGTACAAGATAAAGAGATTGGACTGACTTTTCTTTTCTGAATAGAAATAACTGGACTTTCATCCTTCTCTTCGTTACTCGAAGGTTGATAATAAGGCGAGAGAAACGGCGAATCATTTGACTCTTTACCAATCCAACTCGGACACCTCTCAAAACTCCACCCCATTGGTGAATCCGATGACGTCGTATCGTCCTGTGACTCACCAGTGACGTAAATCCCCGCATGTGACGTAGCCAATGCTAATTTCACACGATTTCGTTTCTTTGTAGACAAATCCCCGGATGTAGAAGTTCCCGGATGTTCATCATGTTTGTTGTCCGTAGTGATATCCACTGGTTTGACATCATGTTGTGGACTCACTGTCACCGAGACATTTTCCCGACATTTTGTATCGAGCTTTGGCTCACTTAATGAATGCAGTCTGTTTCCAGTTTTAAGTAGATTATTACTGTCTTTGTTCGTGACATCCATAATGTTTGGTGACCTATAATAATTACTATTCAAACTTCCACGCAGCATATCCATTAAAAGATCGTCATTTTTTTGCTTTTCAAAACTTCCAGCACTAAGTTCCACCCCGTTGTTCTTTAACTTACTAAAGTTACCATTCTCTCGTTCAGAGAGTGAAGTTTCTTCGTCTTCTAGTTTGACGATATTTTCGGTGCGTTTAGGTGAAATTAGACATTTAGTCTCATCATTATTACCTTGAACTGTTTTTCTTTTCGTGTTATATTCTTTCCCACGATGAACACATGGATAACTAAAGCTGGTAGCTTTCCATCTTGTATTGCCATCAAGTTTGCTTGTACCATCTACAGACATTACGGATTGATAAACCTTTTCTTTTTCATTTTTCATCGTTTCGTTCTCGCTCTTCGTAGCTTGCAATTCATTGCCACCTGCAACTGATTCACTAGGACAGCTAATAGTAATTTTAGCAGCGGGCTTCCTGAGTTCTCTACTTTCATTATCAATAAAGCTAAGTGCATACAAATTGGTTTCATTTTCACTGGTCGTTTCATTAGTCGGATTACCATTAATTATCCCAATAATGGGATTCAGGAGATGCGAAACGTCACTCCCTACGTCTACATGGCCATTAGAAGATTCTTCTTCAAAAGCTTGTTGTCTTTCTAACAATCCTTTGAAGCTTGAAATTTTTTCTTTAACGACTTCTGTTTCCTTTTTTGAACCATTGTATTGTTCGGTTAAATTTTCGTCCTGTTTATCGATTCTTCCTTTACAGTCTAGAGTGACAGGTGTCGGTATTTTAGCATTGAAATCATCCGCGTTGTCAGTAATCTCACAGGACACCGATTCTTGAGGAACAAGAATAGAATCATCAGCTATCCTTGTGCTCAATTTACTAAACAAAAACCTCGCTCCCTCAAAAATTCTTCCATCTTTTGAACGGAGTGACCCTGAATTCCTCAGCTCAATGTCATTCGACGCCATTATTGAACTCTCCAAGTCTTTCAAATAAGGCTCCGATTTTGAAATATTCTTTTTAAGCCTACATTTTCCTTCCCAGGCAAGTTTTTGTGTTTTACTCATGGAAGTGAGAGAATAGATCGTAGAGTCCGAGCAACCCAAACTACGTTGAGGATTAGGCCGCACAACGATGAATCGTTTCTTTCTTCTACATTCTCGTAATCCGTCGTGATTTGAACTCAGTGGATCGTTCATTTTCTGTAGATAAACAATCCTTTTCCCTTTAACGGTAAATCTATTAGACTTTTCATTTACAGCAAGTTCCTTTTGCGTTTTAATACTTTCCTCATCATTCGTAGGCCAAATATTTAATTTGCGGTCTTTAAGAATATCTGATCTCGTTTTATCTTCAAGTCTTCCCTCGAGCTCCCATCCAGATGCTTCTTCATTGGGTATACCTCGTTTTTCTTTCGGAGTTGTGGTAAACCCTAGCGAGGGATTAATCTTAGTTCTCCCACATTCCTTGGAGCTCTCAACATCGGATGAATATGGAATGCGTTCTTCGGACGATCCAATTACCGCTCGATAATCGCTATCAACTCCTTGTTCACCTTCAGAAACGACACTGAACGCGTTTTTCACCAGAGTTATTAAAATATCTTTATCTGAATTTTCGAACTTATGCTCCTTAATAAAACACTCCTTCTCTGTCTCTGAGGTTTTTGTAGGATCATCTTCGATTTGTTGGCTATAATTGTAAATTGTCTTGTCTCCCAAACGATCTTGATTTAATCGAGAAGATCTTATAGACCTTGAATCTCTGTTCATGTCACTTGAATTCTTTCACATTTCGTGTACAAGATTGTTTATTTATTTACCAACTTAAATCCTTGCTAAACTTTTACCTGAGACGATGATGTTCAAAGCCGCTGAAGAAACCATCTCGCTTATTCACAAATATATTCCATTCCGCGTGAGAAGTTACAATAAAGAAAGTTTCCAGTCAGTAGAAATACGAGTGTACACTTGATCTCTTTAAAGAATCGTTCTGTAATGAAACAAAGAAGTTCTCCCTTGTCAATAGAGATGTGCCCAGCTGCGTCGGACGAGTGTGGTCCATTCATCAAAATTATTTTGTTATTTAACGTTCAGGTTCTTGTCTGCAAACAAAGTATGACTTGAATTCCATCACCTATCAGTAAGTTCCTGGCAAACAAAGTTGAGTTTAGGACATTATGAAGATTAACAAAATATCAACGACGGTGATAGGAGACTATTCAATTGGACGGACAAACCGAACGCAAACTGTTCAACCATCCAAGTCTTTCCTAAGCTTCAGTTTCTTCACGTAGTTTTTATATTTTGATTCAGAAGTCTTTATGAAAATAATTCCAGATTTTGATTTCTACTTTATCGGGTCTCGAAGAACCAAATTCTTTAGGAATCTGTTCTTCTCACAATAAAGCCTATTAGTTTTATCTTCAGTAACGCAAAGCGAGGGATTCGGTAACTAAAATCTCAGTAAGAGACCGAGTTTACGAACGCTGGATATTGATGAAAAGAATTTTGCAATAATGTTAGTAATCACGGGAGCAATGTCGTATCTTAATAGCCCAATATTTAGCAACTATTCTGTCTTAATTTCATTGGGTGAAGTCCTTATAAGGAACTATAACGATGGTGTCAGCTGCGTACAGGGTTCAAAGCGTCAAGAATAATAAAGGTTCACGAGTAGCTATCAGAAAAGTCCAAAATACGACATAAGAAATCTCACGAGAAACTATACCCCTCGCAGGGATCGGATTTTTAATTCCTTGGAAAAAAGTCTTTCATAAGTTAGTGGTTATAGCATGTGTTGAATAAATAAATATCACAAAGGAGATGAAAAGAATATTAAATAAAATACTAAAATATTTAAATGATAACGCTTAAATTATACAATACTGTCGATGTTGGCAAGTTTCGTAATTTTAGACTGAATTAGTAGAGCTATAGCTATGCTTAAGGGAATTTTTAGCGTTGTTATTTATTTTATTTATTTTTGCTTAAAGCTATTCTACCTAGAGAGTAATCTTATTTTATTTTCAACCTCTTCGTCTTCTTAGTACGCTTCGAAATTTTTTGAAGAAACTTTTGGCTTCTCTGTATAATTATTCAGACTATCAGTTTGTATAGAAGTGACTTTAAATTCAAAGAAGCTAAAAATGTCATTTAACACCTCTGATTACTTAGTGAAAGCTTCATTTTTTTTGCAAATGAAATAAATGGTAAAAAATAATCTGGTACAAAAATTGCACCATTCGCTCATCCAAACAAGCCCGGAACTAAGCAGCCTGATATGTAAATTTAGGAAAAAGGAATTAAGGTCAAAAAAAGTTACGACCTTGAATTCAGTGGACTTTTTAGAACTAAGGGATTCTTGACTATCACATCCCCATAATGCCTTGCGTTTTTGGGGGGTAACCAATCAAAAAACTGTCCCAAATTGAAAGGTTTCTTAATTGAGTTCATACTGTAGATGCTTTTATCTGTACAATACTGATTATCAGTTTATTCCAAGTTATTTTTGCGTGTACAGATCATCAAGAGTTTTGGTCTTACAGAAAATGTATTGACTTACGAAAAAATGTTTAAAATTCACYTTAAACGTCTTCAAGCTTCTATTTTTTTTTCTGTTTTTTACTTCTTCACTTTATATTTGGATACCAAACAAGGTATTTTCAACATTGTCTGATCAGCCTTCAGCAAAATAAGTGGGGTTTTACCCTCTGGTTACCCCCCAAAGACGCAAAGGATTATGGGGATGTGAAAGTCGAGAATACTCCTAGTTCAGGTCGAAGTTCAGGTTAAGGGATACCTCTAATTCTACCTCTAAGTATTAACCTGAACTAGGAGTATCCCTTAACCTGAACGTGGACCTGATTTAGGCCACGACACACTATGCCGGATAAATTTGAGTCCGAATTTTTATTTATTCGGTTAGGCCTACCGTCCACACTAGTCCGGGCGAATCCGGAACAATTCTTCACCGAAAACGAATTTTCGAAATGGAACCGAATAAGTAAAAATTCGGATTCAAATTTATCCGGCATAGTTGGACGGGGCCTTAGGAGTATCCCTCAACTTGATTTAGTGTTGTAAAGGGAGCCGAACTGAAATTTAAAAAAATAATTTAGCGCTGTTTATTTTCTTACTAGTCATTAAAGAGCTCAATATTATTTTCTTGAGTAATTTGGTGTCAGACCTCACAGAGTCTCTTGCAGCGGATTGAGTCACGATAAGAATTGAAAGTAATTTCGGCTAATTTTTGCGGGCAAACAGGGGAAAATTGTGCCAGATTGATATGAATTAGTTATGAGAACAAGCTTCCAATTATGGTCTGATCACGATAAGATCAAGAATCTGTTAATTAGGAATTATATATTGAACCAATTATCATTTTTCTCGGAATTATTACCTTTGACAATATCCTAACCATTTTTGATACGCGTCTATACAATTATGTGTCAGCGGACATATAAATCACCCATAATGCCTTGCTAGGTAACTTGTTGACTGGAACTAAGATGCCAATAATGCGCATGCGCAAACCTGTTTATTACATTATTGAATAATATATATATATATATATATATATTGTTGAACCTCCCATACGTTATAGCATTAGAAAGATCGATAAGATTGTGAGATTAGGATTTATGAGCTTTAATATTTAAAGGCACTGTTAGCCACGGCTTAGGATCGCTTCAAAGATTCACTAGATAGAATATTGAACTTTATGCTTCCTAAGGGAGCAGTTTTATAAAATATTTATATATAATTAAGCTGAGTATTTTACATACTCTGACTTAGTGAGTTAGCCATGCCCTGACTTAGATCAGCCCAGAGGTTGTTTCAGGGTTCTATTTGTGAGTTATCCATGCCCTGACTTAGATCAGCCCAGAGGTTGTTTCAGGGTTCTAT